CAATTGCCTTCGTCCTTTAGGGGTTAAGATTGCACTTGATGGAGAGTCTTGGGAACCTAGATTACTTTGTAACTATGTACAGTGACTTGAGGAAATTAGGAATTTATATTATTTAAAGGGTCAAATATCAAAAATATGTGGAAAGCTAATAATTGGTTAAAGAAATAACTGTACAGAAGCCATTTTAGTAATAATGACTTATCAAATATTGAAATATAAATTAAAAAGGTTTCTGAAGATGTATACAAGTACATAGAAGGAACTGATATCTAGCCGAACTGCCAGTTACTGCATCTAAAGCTGAATGTTACTGAACTAGTAATTGATTTCAAGTCCAATTAGTTCCCCCCCACTCCTGTTTAAATGTATCTACTTGAGCCTCGGAAAGATTAAATAAGCAATATTAAAATGTTATTCTTTATTTCAGATTCTTTCTTAAAGATCAAAATTAATTAATTACTGATGATCACTTTGGAATTTTATGCAAGGTAATTAATTGCATTTTGCATAACATCTGCAGTGATATGCACACCTGATATGCGTTAGTTGAAAAGTGTGGACCTATAAAAATGTTTAGTAGCTTGAAGCCTAGAAAAAGACTGTATAAATAGAGGAGATTAAATACTGTACTATTTTTTTTGTGTAACTATGTATTTTTTTAATACATTAATGCCAAAAAGGTTAAGAATCTAAATGTTTGTTCATTGGAATCTGAGATTGTTGGTTTAATCAAAGAAAATTAGGATTATTCACAAATTCTAAATATTTGTGTTTTTTTTTTCTTATATAGTAAAGAAGAATCTATGGCTGTTAATCCCTGTTACAAAAGTCTTACAGGAAATATGTGATTTTATTAATGCATGATAAAATGCCACAGGAGTTAAAGTTAAAATATAAACGTTTTTGTAGTTCTATTTCACAGATGGGAATGATTGCACAAGGGATATAATGGGTTCTGAACCCATAGATAAGAAAGAATGCACAATTCAGCCCAAAAATATAGGGAGAAAAAAAAAGCTCACATGTAATTAAAAAACCTGTAACTTTATTTATTCATAGTTAAAATTTTAGCTGGTACCAGCAGTAGGGGGAAAGACACCACCACTATAACACTAACGCGTTTTGTGCCTCTGTGCCTCCGCGTCCTCATCAGAGACAATCAGTGGCATATACCGTGTGTGTGTGTGTGTGTATGTATATGTATGTATGAGTATATGTATGTATATATATATATATATATATATATATATATATATATACACACATACATACGGAGCCTGGAGTTGTGGGGGGGGGGATCCGGCCTATGTAAACTCAAACTCACCTCCATACCAGACCGACGTCGATTGGTCACTTCCGGTTCCGGTTTCGTAAGGACAGTCTCCCTCGTGATCTACTACCCTCATGCAAATCAGGACACTTACCAGGCTTCCAGTGGGTCCTCGACCCAGTTAAATGCCGCCGCAGCCGCTCGGGCACCTTTACTGATACGTTCACAGTACATCTGCTATACTTCCGGGTCAGCTGATGAGCACCCGGAAAAAGTGAGTAAAAAACTTTAACGAAATGCTACAAACACACGAACTGCATGGACGAGCCAACTAAAACGAACGGCTATACTTACATGAACGGTTAAACTTACATGAACGACTAAATCAAAGACCCCAGATTAAACAAAAAACTTTCCATACCAGACTTTGTGTCTGTACAGAGATGTTATTTGCTTAAACTTACCATAGCGCAGAGAGGAATTAGACCTTTACATGCACAAATTGGTAGACCTGGGTAACCAGTATGGTGGCACAACTTTCTATGACTATCACAAGTCTCTCAGCCAAGACGGCAGCAACTTTTGCTTAGTTTAACATCAGAATAAACTGGAGCCACATGGACACCGGATGCCGCCAAGATCACATGGATGCCGCCAATTCGCTTGGAGGGTGCCACCGGCTTGCACAACTTGCTCATCCAACTCTCACGCTACCAATTTGTGCTCCTTCGAACCCAATTCACCCACCACTAGCTACAGTGCCCCAAGCACTAGCACGTTCGAACAAAGAGGGTTAAAAGACAAACTGGGTAGACCAATAGTATTCTTGGGGAAGGCTCAGATATGCAACAACACAGGGGGTTGCAGTTTTAGTGCCTGCAGGTTGTTGCATGTCTGTTCCATCTGTTTTAGAGCCCATGCCAAGACCATGTGCCCTAATCGTCTCTTTCCTAAGAAATGACTAACGGAGGTACAAGTCAACACACTAGCCTTTTACCTCGTCACACACCCATCACAAGACCTAGTCAGTTTTCTCATCACGGGCTTCACTGAAGGGTTCCATACAGGGTTAACTGCACTACCAATGGGCACGTTTGAATGTAAAAACTTACAGTCAGCAACTTCAGATCCCACTACAGTGGATACACTCCTCAGCACAGAAGTAAAGAAAGGCATCATAATTGGGCCTTTCCAAACACCCCCATTCACTTGTTGGCAAACCAACCTGATAGGTGTTGCTAGCAGCAAGTACAACAATAAATAGGTTAATCATAGACCTGTCGACTCCTTATTCTGTCATTACACCAAGTCTCAACTCACTCATATCTTCAGAAGAATTCTCCCTGCAGTATGCCACAGTAGAAAATGCCACACAGGCAATATTGGAGGCAGGGGAGGCAGCTTGGTTGGGAAAAAAATGACATTTCCAATACCTTCAAACTGCTCCCAATTAGCCAATTAGTCTCGTGGCAACTGCATGGAATAAAATGGTAAGGCTCATACTATTTTGCAAGCCGACTAACTTTTGTAGCAAAGAGCAGTCCAAAGTTATTCGATTTGTTCGCAGAGAGGCAGTGCTGGCTGTTGTTAAATATAAGTGGTTGTCCAGTCGTCATCCACTACCTAGACGACTTCCTGACTATAGAAAAACACGGGACCACACCACTAAGCATAACTAAAACAGTTGCACTCTTTTCAGCCCTAGGAGTACCGGTAGCCTTGGATAAAACTGTGGGACCCATCACCAGGTTGTCATTTCTGGTCATATGCCTAGACTCAGTCTCCCTGCAGACAAAGTTCAGAGAATCAGGACAGAGGTAGAATTGTTCCTCAACAGAGGTACTAGAAGCTGGAAAAACCTACAATTCCTCCTTGGTTCTCTGAACTTTGCCATGAGAATTATCCCACAAGGACGAGCGTTTATATCCAGACTACTCAGCCTCTTACCCAAACTACCAAACGACCACAGCATAGTCATTCTAGACCAACAAGCTAGGTCAGACTTATCCATGAGGAGTCAATTCTTGACTCAATGGAACGGTACCAACATATTTATACCACCCTGGACAAAGATTTCCCCAGTTATACAGACAGATGCAGCAGCCCACTCAGGGTACGGAGCTATTTTTGAAAACAAATGGTTCAGAGACACATGGCCAGTTAAAACAGCAACGTTACCATCATTCAACACCACCTCCACCCTTTTTGAGGTCTGCCCAATAGTGGCAGCAGCCCAAATTTGGGGACACCTTTGGAAGGGACAAGCAGTAAACTGCTACTCAGACATAAAGGGAGATTAGCAAAGGGAGATCCTCAACCCTCACCATCATGAGGTTAGTCAGGAAACTAGTATGGTTGGCAGCGACACAGCACTTTCATTTCATGTGCGAGCACATACCGGGCCAAAAAACTAGGACGATGGAAATCGTCCACATACAACCGGTGTATATACCCCAACCGGCAAAAGAACTGAGAAAAGCATTTAAGGATTTAACCAAATAGGTGTACGTGACAAACACAAATCTTGTATTCAACTGATACGTATTAAAGATGTTTTGCCCATACCTTTTTGCCCTCTGTATTTTACAGGCCTGCCCATACATTCGGTTTTGGCACACCACAACCGAATTTAGCTAATAACACGATCGGCTAATTTTTCCCTGACCACAAATGGGAAGGCGGAGCCTGGAGTTGTGGAAGCGGGTGATCCGGCCTATATAAACACAAACTTACCTCCATACAAGGCAGACGTTGATTGGTCACCCCACCCACCGCTGCACATATACACACATCTATAAATTCAATCCTTGGCGGGCCCTCTTTATTTTACAGGCCTACTTGTACATTCGGTTTTGGCACACCACAACCGAATTTAGCTAATAACATGATCAACACTTACTTGGCTAATTTTTCCCTGACCACAAATTATATATATATATATATATATATATATATATATATATATAATCTCAAACACTGCAAGTGTAATTAGTTAAATCAACATGAATCCCTTTAAGCAACCAAGACTCCATTTTAGATATATGTTTCATTGTCCTTGTATGTACAGAGATATTAGTTATAGGGATTTATTAGTAATTATTTCCATCATTCTTAAATTAATATACTGTATAAGACTTTCAAAACTTGCAATAATATAGTAGCCAAGTCATATTGATGCATTGTGTTAAAAAAAAACCTCCTAATTGCAGCTGAAGCAGCAAAGGGGCATTTCATCTAAATATTGCATTATGATACTACAGTTATTCAATGACAAAAAGTAAATTTAGGCAACTAATATCTATTACTCCAGATTCAGAACTTGCCCCCTAAAAATAATCTAATTTCCAAAACACAAATCTAAGAGGAAAAAGCTTAGACGTTAACTAAAATGGGATACCTCTGCTAAATGTTGCTGTGGCATATTTATACAGATAAAATACTTATGCAGGTGGAGCGCAAAATCAAATCCACACTCTCAGAGAATCCTTTAGACTGCTTCAGCTCAGATGTATATATAAAAAAGGAATAAAATGCATATAATAGTGAAGCACAGTAACAGTAAATTACATGTATTTATTAAATCCACTAGACATAAAACACTCCTATCACCATAAAAAAGTCATAGTAAGTGCAAGAGTAAAAAGAATAAAATGAACAATGAATAAACAATTGGCCTCTTACAGAATAAAAAAAGTGAGTATAAGCAGTCCCAGCTGCAACTCACAAACGCTTATGGTTGTCTTAGCCCAGGCTCGATCAGCTTTGCAGCCGGCTGCCACTTGTCCTCCACGGATGGTGTAGAAATCTCCGGCCGCCGCGCAGTACTGAGCATCGGCATGGTGTCTTTCGAATTTCCCTGGTGCTCCTTCCCCTTTGCGTCAATACATAACAGGCGTGCGTCACTGCGTCGTCTACGCGTTTCGCCGTAAAGCTTCCTCAGGACGTAAAGCAGTGATGCTTCCATCTCACACTAGTCCATTATTTAAAGCGATCCTCTAGCATTCTATTGGATCACTGCAAGCAGCTTCATTTAAATATATATCGCTAAGTATAATCATTCACTTAACAGTCTCTTGTTAACTGTTTGACTCCCAATACCAGATATTAGACTGTTATAGGCAGGCCTATAAAAAAGGAAATTTATTTATAATTATAACATCACAACACACTTTGCTACATAGAATGGGGACTTTGCAGGTGATCCAGGTTTACATTAAAAACTATGTGCCAAGATCATTGTATTCATATTTGTCCTCCTTATTGCCATTTTTATCTATTGTGAAAAAAAGGCCATTTGTGAAAGCTAATGAAAAGCCTTGTCGTGAAGTATCATAAAAAGTTATCTATTAAGAGGACAAATACTCATAACTTCTGTCATTAAGATAATTTTTGAAGTAAAGTCTATTCTTTCTGTCTGTCATAAAGAAACATGTCAAACACCATAACCACTACAAAGCACTTTATTGGTTATGGTGCCAGGAGTCCCCTGGCACTCTTCGTTGTAAGTAGTCAAACTATTTTAGAACTCTTACTTTTTTTCTGGGCTCTACCAGGTGCCAATTACTGCAATTTAGTAGGTATGGTACTTGGAGTGTTCTTTTAATGAATGTTGAACTCTCCCATTCTCAGTTATGGAACAATGACACTATGTAACATTCTTCTTCTAACTAAGACCCTTGAGTACTAAATGTTATAGAATTTTTGTATACAGCACATGGGTATTTCAATGACTATATTATCTTTAGCCTTATATTTTTCAAATAGTGGCAACATATAACAGTTGCATATAATACACATGATTAACTAAACAGCCTAAGCAAGCTGCTGTACTTTAGTGAGTTCTAGAAATCGGAATACAGTAATAAGGTTAATAAATCTCTGTAAGCATTAATTTCTCTTCGCCATATCAAGCTTTGTCAGATACCGTGTGATTTCCTCAGTGGTTTAGCTATTCCCTGCCAATGTTTCCTCTCTGCTCAGTTACAGAGAGGAGTATTAAATTACTAAGAAAACTTCAAACTGTCCATTGTTTGTGTTCACCTTAAAAAGAGTGTTTGCAGATAGATTAACAACGCTATCCTAAGGTGTTAATTTCTTTGTGTTACACACATTTCTTCAATGATTTATTATCACTTAAGCAATATATTTGTTCTAGGAAGCTTGTTCCCTGTGGATACTTCTCAGTCTTCTGTAATAAATTGTTGTTATATTCCAAGGGATACACAGCAGGAATCATAGATGTGTTTTGTTTGATTCTTTGTTCAGGTTAATTAAAAAGACTCGTCTTTTTTTCTGACTTCCATTTCCTGAATATTTATGTAAATATATGGGAAAAAAAGTCAGTATGTCATGATTATTTTTAAAGCAATGGGAATTATCGATTCTATAAATTGTATAATTTTGGAGAATACAACTCCCACAATACAATTTCTCTGGCATGGGTTCCGGTTAAGAAATATAGTTCCACTATACATGAGTATGTATTATTAGACTTGCGCATTTGGGTTTGAATTTTGGCCAACAGGCAGATCATCTGGATTTTACAAATCAGAATCACAGTAGGACCAAATCACAAAACAACTAAAATGGACAATGGACGAGTCGGTTTGTTTGTTTTATAATTCCATCCATGGTGCCAACAAAAAGAAAGAAATCAAATAAATAATAAAATTAATACAAATAGGATGATTTTTTTTTTTTTTTAACAGTTTTAAGTCTCAGGCATGCATATTGTTTTGTGTTGCTAAAAACTGTTTCACATTTGACATTTGAAAAAACCCCAGTGGGCAAAACAATACGGATTGTGGGTGGTGACATCAGGAGTAGAGAGCTAGAGGACTAGGGTGCAGTGAGCAAGTGAGGGATGCCAAGGGAATATGTGGAAAAGCTTAAAGGGACATTATAGTCACCTGAACAACTTTAGCTTAATAAAGCAGTTTTGGTGTATAGAACATGCCCCTGCAGCCTCACTGCTCAATCCTCTGCCATTTAGGAGTTAAATCCCTTTGTTTATGAACCCTAGTCACACCTCCCTGCATGTGACTTGCACAGCCTTCCATAAACACTTCCTGTAAAGAGAGCCCTATTTAGGCTTTCTTTATTGCAAGTTCTGTTTAATTAAGATTTTCTTATCCCCTGCTATGTTAATAGCTTGCTAGACCCTGCAAGAGCCTCCTGTATGTGTAAAGTTCAATTTAGAGATTGAGATACAATTATTTAAGGTAAATTACATCTGTTTGAAAGTGAAACCAGTTTTTTTTTTTTTTTTGTTTCATGTAGGCTCTGTCAATCATAGCCAGGGGAGGTGTGGCTAGGGCTGCATAAACAGAAACAAAGCGATTTAACTCCTAAATGACAGTGAATTGAGCAGTGAAATAGCAGGGGAATGATCTATACACTAAAACTGCTTATTTAGCTAAAGCAATTTAGGTGACTATAGTGTTCTTTTAATAAAGGACGTGTCTCCTTGTAGATTTCATATATTTAATAAGTTCAGAAATAAAGTAGATATTTACTTCTGACTTGATTGTTGTCTTTCTTCCCTATCGTGCACAGTAGAACAAAAGTTAATCAATGGATATTTTGCAAGCCAGGGTGTCCCAGTGCCAGCAAGTGAAAGTGGGGCTATTCCACTTCCAACTTGTGACTCTGTTTTTTCTTATAATACATTATTCATACCCAAGCAAGAGAACAAACAACTCCATATTAAAGTATATTTTTAGTGCATCAATCTTTCTAAAATTAAATAAATAAAAAAGTAAGTATCAATTATAGACCAAACCCTTAAAATGCACAACTGGATGCCCAAATGTAATCGAACGCTCAAAATCGAAATATACACAGAATGTGAAACTTCGGTAAAAAGGTGAAAAAATTAGCCTATCATTGTATTGAATACTGTACTGATGAGTGACAGGCTTACTCATACACTGTTTTGGTTTGTCTGAATTAGACAAAACATGATATGGACGAAATTCGGTTTTACCAATTAAAATAATTTCCAGTCAAATCTATTCAGGTGAACCGAAAAGTTCTACCATGCTTAATTCTATTATGCATGTTGTGTAATGCCCAGAGATATAAACTAAAGGCATACTGTATCGTAAAAGTGGATTCTCAGTCATTTGAAATTGTCATGTTATTTTTTTCCAAGTCCCTTTTGCTGTGATATTTAACCAGCATTCAAAATGTCGTTGATCATTTACTTGTGGGAAATATTTTGATATAATTTTGAGTAGTTTTTTTTTTCTTTGGATTTGTGCTTAGCAAAATATAAGACATGTAAAATCTTTAACCCCTTAAGGACCAAACTTCTGGAATAAAAGGGAATCATGACATGTCACACATGTCATGTGTCCTTAAGGAGTTAAGCAGACTTTTTTGTGCATCAGATGTAGACGTTTCTACTTTGCTAAAGAGCATTTATTAAGCCTAACTTATTCCTCAATAAATACACATATTTATATTAACAAGAAATAAATTATTCACACGAACACCATGTGTGGAGAGATTCTTCTCATTGAGAAATGGAACTGATGCAAGGCATATAACTAAGCCACCAAACAAATGGAACTACGTACTTAACCCGGAAGTGATTTCACACGTGTAACACGTCTAGCATATTTCTCTTAAAATAATTTTTTCAAAATGTAAATGTTTCAGAAAATATCTAACATAACAAATTATTGTATAAAAAAAAATCTAAATATTAAACTATTTTTCAAAATAGTAAATTATTTTAAGTTTGTCCGAAAATATTAAATTGAGGCCATGAGTACTATCATAAATAAATACAATTGTGATATTAGTAATGAATAAACAATAAGCAACGTAACAAACTTATTTTTCACTTGATACTAACAGAGATCTTCTAAAAACAAAACATCTAAGTTCACAGTAGACAAATCTTAACGTGGCAGTGCTTACTTAAAATACCAGTTAAATTTATTAATAGAAAGGAATAAAGTGTCAGTCTTTACATATTTATATTTATGATGGTGAAGAATTTAATGACATAATTAAGAGAATGGGGCAAGCAGAAATGAAATGGATATTTGATTTAGATACTTTACATCTGAGAGGTTTAAATAATGACTTCGAACTCTGTCACTTTTTATGATAAACAAAGTCATTTATAATTTTTTCCATTTTTATTAGGTATTGCCATATGATATGATACACGTTTCTGTACATATTTTTTATGTATATATTTTAATTTAAACTTTTTTATGTGTGTCCTCTCCCTAGAGAACTGGTTTTCTACAACCCACACTTCTGACCTCACATCCATTATTTTATAAAAGAGTTAAGCTCAATAAATTTATAAAACTATGCATAACAAACAGTGTTGTGTTTGTTATGGATACGGAGCTATGCACTATTCTAATTATTACCAAAATACCTAAAATGTAATGGAATATCAGTGAGGTCAGGAATGCACCTATAAAGATTGTGTCTTTAAGCAGTGTATTTATGCTTTCAAATGTGCAATACTGATATCCCCCTTTCTATATTTTCTTATATACTACAATATAACTGCCATTTGATAATTCAAAATGTGATCTGTCCGATATGCATTTGCACACGGACAAAGGTGGTATTTCCAGTATTCAAAATGAAGATCGGGACGAACCGGAAGTGACGTTGTGACAACTCCGAAATGTCACTTCCATCTACACGAACATCACTAGCAGCTGAGCCGGAACATATTCCCATGTATGGATGGGCGGATTTGCTGATTAGGTAACAACAGGACCAATCAAGACAGGACTCCACCGGTACAAATACAGGAAGCTAACGAAAAGCAGGCATCTGATTTAAGAAAGCCTTTCTAATAAGGTGAAGCGCGTCTTGGGCGGCCAGGACTTTTATACAGACTATCTATAGATGATTATTTTGAATGTTATATATTATTATTTTATGTTTTTTGTACAAATAAATTGTTTTAAATTTATACCAAGTCCT